ATTTATTGCACTAGCAAAGTATTTTGAAATTAGGAAAGAGCTGCATTTAGGGTTAAACATTGAATTCAATGACTAAGCTAATTTTGAAACCAGTTGCTTTGACCGGGGCTTAGGCTCCATGCTTATTGGAAGAGTGGTCTAGATTAAAGAGAGAAATCAGTGGTTTTAATTGTGGATTTTTTAAAAAATAATTAAGAGATGACAAATATAGTGGGACAAGGAAGCCTACCTGCCCTTAGCTGAACCTGCATAGCAGGGAAAGAAAGGCCTCCCACAGGCCTGAACACCTTGTCTTTTTCCCTCTATTAAATATGGATGTAGTTAAAGGTTTTTGAGGTTTTTTTAATTGTGAATAAAAGTGAATAAGACAAACTGTCCTCTGGAGTTAAGTGTCAGTTGCTACTTTAGCTACTGGACTATGCCATAGAATGCACAGAAAAGCAGCATGGCCTACTGAAGTTGTCCCAAAACTTTTTACCTCACACTCCCCATTACCCCTCTCCACACCCCTTCCACACACTCTGACTTCAATAGCTCAGACATAGGTGAGGTTCTGTGTGGGTAGGTGAGATTCTGTGGCCTGCGTTGTGCAGGAGGTCAGACTAGATGATCATAATGGTCCCTTCTGACCTTAGTATCTATGAATCTATTAAAAAGAGAGGGCCAAAATTCTCCTCCCTATGTGCCAAAGCAGTAAAGCTGTGGAACTGGTGTGTAGTCAATCACATTCTCATTTCAGCCTCTTCACTTCCAGGCATACGGAATATCATGGCCTATGATCTGAGCAGACATTCTCTGGACAGCTCTCTGGACAAGTGGGACTGAACCTTTAAATCCTCAGACAGATATTCCTGATGCGGGGGGTTCCATAAATGGACCTTTTCATGACTGCCATCAACAGGAAAAGCAAAGGGTTCTGTTTGAGAGGAGGTCTGGGTCCTCAGTCCTTGGGAGAAGCCTTTCTCATCCCTTGGACCAGGAGCCTTCTGTATGCATATCCTCTGACACCACTGATTTTGTTTTGAACAAGATCAAATAATTCAGAGCCAAGCTCATTCTAGTGGTACCAACTTGGCTGAGGCAGGTCTGGTACCCTTACCTGATTCACCTTGTTGCTTGTCCAGCAAAGCAGCTCCTGCCCATTCCCCATCTGCTGTCCCAGGATTCCAGTTTGTCTCTCCACACTGACATGGCCATCCTCTGACTCTGAGCATGGCTCCTTGATGGTTCTTGGGAATAGAGGATTCCTGTTCATCAGAAGTAAAACAAACCTTATTAAACAGCAGAAAGATCTCTATTAAAATATTTACCTTCAGAAATGGAAGGGATTTCACCATTGCTGTTCTCAGCATCAGTTTTCACCTGTTCATTTTCCCCTCTCAGCTGTTCTTGATTACCAGTTGGTAATCAGGTCTTTCTGTGAGTTAAATCAGAGTTCACTTGGTGGCTATTACAGCCTTTCATTCCTCTATACAGGTATTTTCAGTTTGTTCTCATCCCACAACAGCAAGATTCATCAAGGGTGTTAGGATATAGATATTCAGGCCTGTCTGTAAAGGCCTATACTCTAAGAATTTAGGTGTATTCTTATCACTTGGCTAGTTATAGAGGTACAAAAGAGAATCAAAATCACTGTCTGCCGGTGTAAGGGCCTTCTCTTACTGTGACAGACTGAGGCCCTGTTCTTAGGCTAAGGCCTTTGGCTAAGCAACAGAGGCAGTCATAAGCTGGGAAGCGAATGGTCACATCCTCACATTCCAAAGTAGTCACATTGAAAGAAGGTGCTATTGGGCTGTTAGGAATACAATCCTGTCCTGATAGTGCCTATCACCTCCAGAGAAAGGGAAGTGCCTAGAAAATGTAAAAGGAAACTTAGTTTGATAGCATCCTGTCTGGCAAGAACTCACTTATCAATAGCTGGGATGTGAAATCCTCACTTCTGTATTGTTTTGTCATTATAGTTCCCACTTTGCTATTGTTTGTCTGTATAATCTCTGTCTGGTTCTGTGATTGTTTCTGTCTGCTGTATAATTAATTTTGCTGGGTGTAAACTAATTAAGGTGGTGGGATATAATTGGGTACATAATCATGTTACAATATGTTAGGATTGGCTAGTTAAATTTCAGGAACATGATTGGTTAAGGTATAGCAAAGCAGAACTCAAGTTTTACTATATAGTCTGCAGATAATCAAGGAAGTAGGGGGGTGGAGGAAACGGAAACAGGGAATGGGGGTAAGGAAATTGGAATCATGTTTGGCTAAGGGCAGGAATGGGAACAGGGACACAGGTGTAAGGCTCTGTGGTGTCAGAGCTGGGAAGGAGGATACTAAGGAAGGAAACTGGAATCATGCTTGCTGGAAGTTTACCCCAGTAAACATCGAATTGTTTGCACCTTTGGACTTCAGGTATCGTTGCTCTCTGTTCATGCGAGAAGGACCAGGGAAGTGAGTGGGTGAAAGAATAAGCCCCCTAACAAAGGGTTTGGGTAACTTTTTCCCCCCACAAATGAGTGAGCTACTCCGATATGGGATCTGAACGTGGTCCTTAATGGTCCTATGAAACCTCCCTTTGAGCTATTAGCTATGTACTCTGTTGCATTTATCTGTGAAAAGCATTTTTAGTGGCTATCAGCTCTTCCTGCAGTGAATCAGATCCAGTGGTCCAGGGAGAAACTAAGGGTCTTGTACTAGTCTTGTTCTGTGCATGCCATTTCTATCAGCAGGATTCTGTGCACAGATCAGTCGAAATGTATGATCTTAATGTCATAAAGGGGCACTTACTTCTACACTTAAGTATTTTATCGTATTGGATCTCTTTCTATCTGAAAGAAGGAAAGCCGTCTAGTACAAAGTTAAAGGAATTAAAGATATCATCCAAATTTTCAAACAGGCCAGACTTGAGGTCATTACTCACTTCTTCAAGAAAAAGTGCTCTTGGTCTTGGGGAATGGGAGAATTGCCAGAGGAAGGATTGAGTGAGGGGTGGAGGATGGGGCCCTTTTACATTACATTAGCTCTGTTTGTAAAATGGGATGGCTTGCGTTTGTTGTACTTAAATTAGAACTGTGCGAAAGGACGGGTACTTTTAGTGAAAAATGTCTCTCTTCCTAAACAGGAGGTTTCATGCCTCCTGGCATTCTGCGTGTTTTGTGATATTTCAGGGCAGTGGCTATTGTTCAAGTTAAAAAGTCACTTTTAGGCAAAATGGGCTTGTGAAACGGGCTATGAGCTGCAGAAGTGGCAAGTAAAACTGGGATGTAAGCAACCTTTGCAACCTCTTTTTGGAGACGAGAGACAGAGTAACATCCTATATACATGGTTTTTTTTTTTTTTTAATGGAAGGGTCATATAGGAGGATGGGGCAGAGAACAGCAGGGGAGGAAAGGTATACATAAAGCCATAGAGGAGGTAAAGGAATACTTTACCTTGGATGAGGAACAGACCTTGCAATGTTTTACTAAATGCACTGTACGAAGGCCGGAGGTGAGCCCTTAGCCTGAGTCAGGCATAGGAACTACAGCAATGGGCATATGCTTTAAGACCCTTCCCAGAAACGAGAGGTTGAACTTTTCTTTTGCTCTTTAGGATGTGTAGAACATTCCTTTGTGAAGCCTACATAATTAATACAATTCAATTCCAGTAAAAATTGAGAGGCATATGAAAAAACACTGCATGCTGTAAATTTTCTTCATCGTGTGACCTTGACATGTTTCATTGTTTTAAATCCTTAATTGTGCTATTTAAAACCTTTTTTAATCATCCAGTTCTCTAGAGGAATAGTTATGGTTTTACACAACACTCCTATGTTGGCTCTTCAGCGATTATTGAGAAAATCCTGTGAAATACTATATTAGAGAACCATTATATGGGTTAGTTATAGTATAACGACTATTGTATATATTTGCTAGCTTACTGTTCCTTCATAACTTTGATACTTTTCATAATTAGTGGACCATGATGTTCTTTTGAGGAATGTCCCTGGGGAAAGCAGATACTTTTAGAGGCAACCGTCAGCAATGATAGTTCAACTCGTTCAAAACCAGTTCACCACCATGTTTAAAATAGGAAACTGTAGTTCTGTGGAATTAATAAAGGAATTGTATAGCAACACAGCCCAAAAATGGTACTGCTCCATTTATCCAGTTTTGCAACCATAATAGCAACCAATTATTAATTATATTATGGTAGCATCTGCAGGTCCCAATCGATATCAGAGACCTATTGTTTTGGATGCTATGAAAATATTTCTGTAGTATTTTAATGTTAATTTAGTAATGTAGGAGTATTAACTGTATCATAAAGCTCTCAGTGCTTCTTGTGACCATGTATGATGCCTAACAACTTTATCTCTTGTTGAAGTCAGATTGCTCAGTGGTTTATAATAATCTGAAAGACAGCAGGCCTTTCTCCCTTCCCCACTACTGGAGTAGCTCAGGCATACCCTACATGGCTAAACTTCTCATCCACTGTCCTGAAGAGCCAGCCTACTCTGCTCCACAAGCCCTAAGATCCCACTTACTGGTCTGAGGGTAAATTTATATTGGAACCCAGCTCTCAGGTCTAGCTGTCTAAAACTGGAAACCACCTCTCTGCAACTAGCTGCTGGGGATCTAACAAATAACAGAAAAACAAAACAAGTTTGTTAACAAACGCTGGCTTCTTCTCCCAAGACCTTTTCCTTGTCTTCAGTGACAGACTGCCCAGTCATATGCCCCTTATGGCTGGAACACCCTTCCTGAACTGTTTTGCAAGGTTCCTTCCCCCTCCACATTTAAGTTCCTCATTATATTCCACTTCTGCCACAACATCTACATAAAACTAGCCAACAGTGGAGAAAGTCAGAAAATGTTTTTTCCCTCATAGAAAAATTCAAAGTTTCAATGAAAAATTAAAAAGGGTTGGTTGAAAACTGTTGGTTTAAAAGAGAAAAATTTTGATTTGGAAATACTGTGTTGCCTTGTGGGAATTATAGTTTGGGAATTTCATGTCCTTCTCTGCAGGCTGGGCTCCTCTGCCAGATTGTATATCCCATGATGAAGCATAATCTCCCCTCTTGCTGAGCCACTGCATGCATCATAGGAGTCCCTGGCTCTGATGGATGATGGCAGATGTAGTCCAGCTGGGGAACCCAGTCCATAGAGGATAATGGGGGTATGAAGCACCGAAATTACAGCCCCTATGATGCATTGTGGCAGCATTTCTGAACTGAAGATTTTCAATGAAAAAATCAAAATTTTCTATGCAAGCAGGTGATTTTGGCTAAAAATTGTGTTTTGTTGAAATTCTCCCATCTCCTCAGTCTTTCTTCCACCGTCTCCTCCTTGTTGTCTTGTTTCCCCCTTGTTATATCATGTCTAATTTATCGTCAGATTCTTCCTTTATGTGGGTGGAATAGTACCTCATTCTGCCATTAGTCCCATTGATTATATACAAAGTAAGATACTACTCAAAAGGAGGCAGAATCTGACCCTTAATTTATGAACTCTTTGGGACAGAATTAATGCTTTTTCTCTCTTGGGAAACAGAAATAATAAATACATATAACCAACAAAGAGTCTCAAGCCCATCTCTCTCCTCCTTTTCAGCTCAGCTAAGAGATATGCTTTAATTTTTTTTCTCTTATTAAATCTCTTGTATGTTCCCCTCTCTTTCTTGTGGTCCTGTGTTGTTTTTTAATTTCTTCCATGCTGTTGCAGTAGGGCTCAGTGATGATGAAAGAACACCCGGGCATTACAGTAATGTGCTCCAATATTATCTTTAGAAGTGCCATCTTGCATAGACTGGACCAGGCCCTCTTAGAGGTCCAGAGAGGCCCGGGCCACTTCTATCTTTTGAAGCCCCTAGCCATAATACAAATAAAAAATGACGACACATGGTCTAATCTTGTGCCATCAGAACCGACGTATTTTTATTAATATTTATGAACATATTTTACTCTTTAATATGACAATCTATATCCGTTAACAAAAAAATTATGTCTTTTACAGATCACATCTCTTATTTGCTTAAAATTGCCGCTCTAAGCTGAGAGTGTGTCACATTTTGGTCCGATAGGGATGCACATAAAAATAAGTTGCGAAACTTATCAAATGCCAAAAAGTTAACGAAGTGTCTAAATTTGAGACCCCCTTTGAGCTTGAGGCCCAGGCCAAATGCCCTTCCCCCCCCGATTGGCCCTGGACTGGACCATGATGTTCATTTGAGGAATGCCCCTGAGCAAAGCAGATATTTTTAGAGGCAACTGCCAGCAATGAGTGGTTCAGAACCAATTCACCACCATGTTTAAAATAATCAACATCTTCCTCTTTCACCCTGCGGTTCCACGGTAGTTTTGTCTTATACATGCTTTAGATTAGTCAGTAGCAGCTGCATATATTTGATCAGACTCAGCTGAATTCTGTCAGGCTGGCATTGAATTTTACAGCCCCCTCTTCTTTATGAATACAAATATTCTAACATTAGAATTTTCTAAATTACATTGCTGAGATTGACCAGCATGAGAATTTTGCTACTGCACAGATTGAATAAGTGCCTTTCCTACAAAGCGCATACCATTTCAATTCCCATTTAAGTCATCAAATTGGAAATGTGATACGTTCAGTTAATCTTCCACAGGCAATTTCAGATATTATAGATCCACTTATATCTTGTGATGAATTACTTCAGTGTTTGGCAAATACTAAATAACATTTTTTGTTGACGTGGAAGTGTGACCTGCAGGCTGCAGCTGGTTCCAGTGTTTGTTACTGTTTGTGTCCAACCCGTCTGTCTCTTCTTCTCTCTGTTCTCCCTTTCTTGAAGCACAGCTGGTTTATGTCTGTCACAAGCAATGGAAGGACATTTCCGAGCTGGAAATTACTGAAAGGATCCAGTGCTGATGGCTTTTGGAGCTGCCAATCCAGAGAGCAGCTTTTGGCTCCTGCTGAGTACAGTATGTCTGCAGTTTGACCATTTATCTCACTTTTTACATACTTGAGCTGAAAAAAAAAAAAAGGATTGTGCAAACACTCACAGCTCATTCCCTCACACCTCTTCCTCCCCACCCTCTCCTTATCAAGTATTGCAGCAGCACTAAAATGTGTCAAATAAGCTGAATGAAGCTGTCTAGTTTTGAGATATTAACAGGGAATTACATCATGGTTAAAATGTATGACTTTGAAATTATCATTGGCTAATGATTATGTGAAAAAACAATAAAACTCTCCCAACCACAATGGGCAATGCCAGACTAAATTACAGTTAAATGCTTTAGGCCCAAATTTTCAAACTTAGGTGCCTGAAGATGGGCATCTAAAGCCAATTAGGCATTTGAGTACGTGAACTGATGTTCAGAGGTGCTGAGCTTAAGGTGCTTAAGAGCAGCTGGTGATCAGCTCATCTGTGGGGGAAGGGGGGAAATATCAGACCATGTATTTAGATGCCTAAATATGGGTTTAGGTGCCTAACTTCAGGCATCCAGCTTAGAAAATGTTGGCCTTCAGACTATCTGGGGCTAAAGGAGAGTACCTCCAGCTTCTAAGCGGCAAGGAAAAAGTGAAATATATATTCCAGGATTTTGCTGCTGGGTGTAGAAGAAGAAGAGATCAGAATTAACAACAGGGAGGCAACGTCTCCACACCAAGTACATTCTGTTTAACTTGGCCTATCGCAGATAGTTCTACAGAGGCAGCACACCCTGCTTCCATTGGTTCAGTAGAAGGTCAGGAATTTTTGAACCAGACTGTAGTGAGATTGAAGGAGATCTGCTAAAATAAATGCTGTTACTGTTTGTTCTACCTTTTTTATTAAATTTTAAATTGCTTCTTAACGTTCCTTCGGCTTAAAGAGCCCTTGTTTGTCTGCCCAGTCATATAAAACAAGAGTAATCTTGGCTGTTTAATCTCTATGATATAGTTCTTTATGCATTCTTCTCATTCTCAGTCTCTCCCATGCCCTTTGTTAAAGCCACTTCAGCTTCAACCAGTTGTTCCTCTCCATCACAGTCTTCGTTTCTTCTCTCTCTGCCACTACGGTTATTCAGTAAAAGTATGTTTATACAAGGAGGAATGCTATCTTCCTGCCCTGGTCATTTTAGCTCACCTGTTGGTCAAAACCATTCACATCCGCCTGCTTCTCAGACGCCATGGAGACTGCATGTAAAGCTGAAATGAGGTGACAAAAACATCATAAAAAGGTCTGTTTGCTTCAAGTCAGATATTGAGGAACTCCTGATATGTAGCCACCAGGTAAGTGGAAGTAAACATCCTTCTGACTATACAGGATAAAGAAAGCTCACAATAATGTCTCTTGTTTCTTATCTTTAGTCTTCAATGAGGTGTCACCAGATGTCAGGAACTGGAATGAGCTTCACCCTCCTCCACCTCCCGCCCCTTTTCACTGGCATATTATACCAGCTCAACTGATATATCAACTGAGTAAAGGTGTAGCGTATGTCATGTTTGACAGAGATGAAATACCCATTTATAATTTCTTTAATCAATGCTTTCTTTCTCTTCTACTGATAGGCCGTGGAGATAGTCAAAACAACTGCTATGTTTTGCAGAAGCAGTGGGAACTAAACCAGCCTACTTACACCACCACATACCTCTTCGAGTTGCTGTTCAGATACACATGTAAATAGTGTGACATAATATTTGTAAATACAGAGAAAGAATGATGAAAGTTCAAGTCCACCGATGTCTACTATACCCTGGACTAGTGTATAGATTTCAGGTAGGACTGTACTGAAGATCCCAGTAAGAAAGGAATAGTTTAGCTCACGTTAAGTACTAAAATAATGGAAAGACTCATTCACGAATTAACTATTTGCAGATGTACAGAGAAACATTTGGGAATAATTTGATTAATATTGTTTGCTCAGTGCTGCTGCAGGACAAACAATGGGAGAGAAATTATTTGAATAATTTGACAATTGATGGAAACAACCAGTCTATTTACTATTTATCCTAAAGCATGTTTTTACTGAATAGAAAAGCTCTCTAAAGCCTGGATCTTATAACTGGATATTTGTGGGTGTGCTTAGCCCATGCAGAGCCAACTGGGCTTCATGCAAGTGCAAGGATCTGTCCATGTGGATTCAATTGCAGGGTCAGGCCTTGGCCTCCCTCAGTGTCTGAGCAAGTGGGATTGCTTGCTTCATGATATACGTGTGGAACTTTTGCAGAGAAGACTGAGGCTCAGTTAATACAGTGTTGAGGGCAATATAGATAAAAAGTTGGTATTTTTATCTTATATCTACCCCAGCTGCATAAAGGTTGTAAGTAAAACTGTCAATAATCAAAAAATGTTCTGTGCCATAGAGCCCACACAAACCTGGTAGAATATCAACCATCCTTTGAAATGATCAACCAGGGAGAATTCCACTGACATGCAGATATTTACTTCCAACTGCCACTGAGACCTTAGCTATAGCATATCGCCAGCAGCAAGGCAGCAGCATCCGACCCCTCCCCAGGCTCTCCCTCAATTAAACTGGAGACTCCGCCTTTTATATTTCCTGTTCTCCCCTCTGCTTCCAGTGCAAGGGGCAGGCCCGGCCTGGCTCTATCCACCAGGGGCATGATTCCTCCCTGTTTGTGTCAGAGAGAAGCCCTTCAGCCTCACTACAAACTCCTTTCTCTTATCAACTCAGCTAATTATTATTGCGATCTCCTTAGCAGGGAAAGAGGTGTGCAGTGGTTGAGGACTTTATTCCTTTACTATGTAAGGGGACTGTTGCCTGCTTACTAACATTCAGTGGGGGTGTTTTGGTTGGCTAGCTCCCAGAACGAAAAGGGGGAAGGGTCGATGGGGAATCAGGACCCTGAGACTGACAGCCCCCAGGAACAATGGGGAGAGGCCAATGCTCCAGGTCAGCCTGAATGACAGGGTGGGCAGGCTAATCAGGGAGTCAGGAGGCCAGGGAGGTCCCGTCCTCCATGGGAGCTGGACTTGCCTGGGTCAGACAGAGTGGGGCCGAGCTAAGGAGAAAGCAGGGGCCTGAGCTGAGCTGAGCTGAGCTGGGGAGCAGAGCTGTGCCAGATCCAGAGAGAGCAGACCCTGTCCTAGGAGCAGAGCTGCAGCCCCAAAGCCAGAGGCACAGCCCAGAGAGAGCAGGCTTGCCCTGGGAGCAGAGCTGCAGCAACCAGAGCCAGAGGGGCCAGAAAAGCAGCCCACGAAGCAGGTCAGTGCTGGGAGCAGAGTCACAGAAGCAGCCTGCAGAGCAGACCTGTCCTGGGAGCAGAGCTGCAGCAACCAGAGGCAGAGGGGCCAAAGAAGCAGCCCAGGGAGCTGGAGGCAGAGCAGCAGCAGCGCTGCGACAGAGTGGTGGAGCTGGGGCTGGAGCAGTCCGGAGCTGGGTGCGGTGAGCAGCTGGGCAGAGCGAGGGGGACCCTGGGCAGCGGGCCCAGCACAGGGAGACACCTCAGCCAAGGGGCTCTGCAGGCCAGGCTTGGATCCTAACCCCGACAGGGCGGGGGCGACACTGGGAAGATGTGTCCTACCACTTAGAGCCTGAGAGCGTGTGGCCACCACCAGAGCAAGTGTCCAACCCACAGCATCCCTGCAGCACAGCCAGGGCCTGAGAAGAAGGCCTGGGACTTACAAGGAACAGACTCTGAACTGCTCTGACATTCCAGAGACACTGTTTGTGATGTTCCCTGCCACAGAGCGGGGTGATGTGTTTCCTTTAACCTTTCCCATTTTTCCTTATTCTTTTTAAAATTAATTGTTGATTAAATAACTTGCATTTGCTTTAACTTGTATGTAATGGTCAGTGGGTCAGAGAAGTGCCCAGTGCAGAGAGAGTACCCTGGAGTGGGGACACCCTAGCCCCTGTCCTAGGTGACCGCAGCAGGGTTGGGGGTCGAGCCCCCCAGGAATCCTGGGCCCAGCCTTGTCAGGGTTACGAGGACTCTGCCAGACAGGAGAGTGGAAGGGGAGTCCTCAAGGGCAGGAAGGACTCTGGGTAAAGGAGGTGGGAGCAAGGACTCAGATCCTTTTGCTAGCCCACTTCACCGAGGTAGTGCAGAAGCCAGGAAAGTTCCCCAGAATAGCGGGACTATTCCCCCTAGCTTACAAATAGGTAATCATTTAAGATAGGGTAACAACATAATGTAGCTATGTATGATTTGGCAGATTTGTTGTACAGAACACTTGTTCTTTGGATAGCCCTGTTTCCTTAATAGATATTTGCTAAAGTAGACTCTGCGGTATGGAAATAAAAACTTCATTATGATGCGTTGTAGGGTTATGTAAACTTAGATTTATGTTTGTCTCACTTGCTTTTAATGCATTTGTGCTACTTTCTCAAGAATTAACCCTAGAATGGATTTTTTGACGACTTTCATTAAACACTTCTTACGTCTAGAGTTAAAAAGGACAAAATCAGGGCAAATATACCTATTCAGCCAAGTAATTCCTGACCACCAGAAGTCCTATACTTCAGTATTCAAAAATTCAGATGAAAATATTGGACAAAGGAGTAATTTCTTCCCTGCATTTATAATTTTTTTTAAAAAAAGCAACACATATGGTGTAAATTACAGCCTTATAGTACCTACCATCACAAAGTCTTTAAAAACTGTATGCCTGTTTTTGCTCTCATTTACACTTCTAAGATAATCAGTTTCTATATCACTCTCTTTTCTTTGACCTAATTCTGAAATAGTTACCCCAGCAATGGAGCATAACTCACTGTTGTAATAACAAGAGGAGAGTCTGGAATCCAATGCAGGGGTCCAAATTGTGGGGAAGGTGCTGACATGGTAGGAGAAGCCGATGGGGAAGATAGACTTGTGAGGTACAGTGCAGGAATCAATGTGACCAGAGAAGGGACGTTGGTGGTAATCAAGGTGAGAAATGACCAAGCGGATGGACCAGAATTTGGTGGTAGGGATGGGAAGTATGAAATATGGAGATCTTACAGAGACAAGCCAACAGAATTTAACAACCAAGAGCAGGGACTAGAGAGCCTTTGTTTACCAGAAACTGGGAATGGGCGACAGAGGATGGATGACTTAATGATTACCTGCTCTGTTCATTCCCTCTGGGGCACCTGGCATTGGCCACTGTTGGAAAACAGGATATTGGGCTAGATGGACCTTTGGTCTGACCCAGTATGGACAATCTTATGTTCTTATGGCCCCTGAAACATGGACTGAGCTGTATCAACCCCTGCCTCTGGCGGAATATACAGAAGCTGCCACTTGGCGAATATTCTGAGGAGCTGCTACCCTGTGAATACCCTGAGGAGCTGCTGGAACTGTTGACTGCAGAGTACCCTGAAGAACCTGAGAGCCCATGAGTGGCAAAACCCTACGACCAGGTAGGGGTAGGAAGTAGCCCAGGGAAACCAGACATTAGTCCGGTTGTGTTTGCTGAAGTCATGGTCAGCGTGTTTTGGCAGGATCCCTGCTGACCCGGTGGCAGGATTCCCCACCACTGTTAGGGCCTAGGCTGGGACATGGTGGAGTAGGGTGGGCTCGGGTGCCCTTACCTGCTCCTGTCAACCCCACTCCTGGGATTGCAGCCTACCCACCTTAGGACAGACAGCCTGCATTTCTTTGGTGTCTGCCCCCACGAGGGAGTTGGGCCACCAACTGCTTTGCTCATTCCTAGCCAGGGAGCTGGGCCAAAGACTGTTTGCTGTTGGCCCCAGCCAGGGAGCTGAGCCAAAGACTGCCTCTGCTCTGTCCCAGCCAGAGGGCTTGAGCCTGACTGGTGGGTATTGCTTGGCCCCACCCAGAGGGCTGAGCCTGATGGTGTTTGTGGCCCACCACAGCCAGAAGGACTCTATGGACTCTACTGACTTACAGTGCCAATCCCCTGTTGATCGGCTCTCAGCTGTTAGGTGGCGTAGTGAGGCATAGTGGCCTCCCTCGGACGCAGACAGGGAGGAACTATTCCAAGTCACTATAGAGCTGTTAGAATAAATCTTTTAATTTACGCCAAACCACAACAAGTGGATTAACCCAGTGGGGCGCCTTGGAAGAATCCATTTGTTAACACACGAGATTGTGCATTAGATTTTTTTTCTGCTGTGTTAAGTGATAGTGGTATAAGCAGATACAAACAGCAGATGTCACACAGATTACTACATTCAGGGCTGAAACCAAGTCTCTGAATGTTGCAGTGGCATTCAGGACACAAATCTGACAAAAGTCTCTGACAGTCAAGAAAGAACTTTTAAGAAAAAATAGTAACTAAAATGTAACTTCTTCGGCTTATTTCATTTTACTGCTATAGATGAGACTTGCATCTTTTGAGAAACTGAGTCACAAAAAGTAAGATGTTTCATATGACAAGTGTTGTCTCCAAGAACGACTACTAGCAAGTTCTCGGGCAGGTAAAAAAAAAGGGTAATTGTTAGAGGTGGATTTGAGCAGCTGTGTTTTGGTTTTGAAAAGCTTCAGTCATATTGGTCAACAAGTCATGACTTTCTCTTCTGATCAGTGTTTTAGAGACATAGGGAATTGTAATGTTTCTTCTACTCCCTTATGATATCAGGTTAAATAAAAGTCTTTTTTCTCCCTTTTAATAATTCTTCCCCCACATCTAGGAGGAATAAATTAACATGCAAAGCCTGGGCTCAGAGCTACAAATCTCCATACCATATAAGACCACAGTGTAAACCAACCCCCATCATTGTCAAACTAGCCAAAGGGCATGGAATTAACAGGTTCTTTGGAATTGCTAAGATTACCATTTGTATTTGTTGCAGGTGTTGCAGGTGCAGGTGAAAACTCAGGGGCAAGGAGGGGTAGATATAAGAATAAAGGCCAGTGAGCAAGTGAACTGGAAATGAAGGTGGAGGGGGAAATAATGGTTGGGTCTACATGGGGCATCCTTTCTATCGCCACAGTTTGGATCAAGGTCAAACTGAAGACTCACCCACATCTCAGAGTCATCTGTGTACATATTATACACAGATAGTGATTAAACTGAGGGGAATTAAAGTCAAGGGTTGTGAGCTGCTCAAAATACCACAAATTTACTGTTATGTATATTGTTCTTTAAAATGTATGGAGGGGGGAGGATTACTCACCTGGTGATTTCATCTAATTTTGTGAATATTCAAAGATAGGGCGGTGAATCTGTACATAAAAGCAGACATTTCTGTGTGCTTTCATTTGCTGGCACACCTTCAACTAACATTCCACTTTACCAAACACCATTTTAAATTAATTTCTTTCATTTCCTTTTCTCTTTTCCTTTCTTTCTACCTTAGTTTTTCTTTCTTCCCTCATTTGTGTTCTCACTCTTCCCCATGGTCTTTCACGAGAACCCCTCCTTCTCTTCAGTCTTTGCTGCTTCCTCTTTGCATCCTAACCATTTCCATCAGGCTTTGCCTTCTGCATCTTCCCAGTCTCCGTCTTCCTCCTGTTCTCATTTCTAAATTACTCAATTATATTTGTATCTCGTGCCAATCTCTACTTTGCCTCCTCACACCCATTATTCGTTTTCTACCACATCAGGATAGAATTCTTTTTCTCTTCCTACCTGGCTCTATTTGACTTGTATACATCCAACACTCCATACCTGCATTGTGCAGGAACAGTCCCTAAATGTTGTTTAAAGGAGATAATCATGGTCTTGGGGGACGCATGGGGACAATGGGAATGTGGATTCACCTCAGAGTTCCCACAGAGGTGTTCTTGACTCTGCACTTGAAATCTTAAGTCACAGTCTCTCATTTAAAAATGGCTTCTGGACACAGCACTAGCAGGTGAATGCACCAGTGAAAAAGGGGCCGCAGTTGAGTTATTGGGTAGCAAAACCAGATGGTGTGCCACATGGGAGCACTGACTGACCATTCTCATCAGCACAAGGGTGCTTGTGGTGGTACAAGAGAGAGCACGAGAGGAGTGGGATGCTGAGTGCAGGGAGGTGAAGACCCAGTGGAGGGTGGAAGTTAGTTCTTAGAGAACTAGGCCTGCTACAGCTCTTCATATCCCTTTCAGAGATAAAAGAATGATTTTTTTCCCCTTATAAAATGTTACCTTTGAAAAGATTTGTTTTATTTATTTAGAGATGTTTCCGTGGCTGGCGCCAATCTGTTGTCTGAGCATCTCAAAAAGATTTACCCTCCCATCATCTTTCTAGGGTACATTAAAGTGTTATCCAGGGACACAGAGAGATTCTGGGTCTGATCCTGTACAGTGCCTCCAAGAAGGGCAACACAGATGGTACAGCTCAGGCATAGGGGAGGTGAAGGTAGCTACCACTGCATCCTCCAGATTGCTGCTCCATGAGGTCAAAATGGCCACCATGTTAAGATGGAGCAGATAAGGGCTGCTGTAATATCTGACAGACACATCAAGCTGTATATGGGCTACACTGCTGCCCAGAAATCTCATAGATCATGCTCCACTGGCTTTCCTACTCCTAGCCCTCAGCCACAGCCCAGCATTCCCTCCACACCACCATAAATGGCCTGACCCTGTGCCAGAGGAGTTCTCCTGTGGTCTTCCCGTGGCACGTGACCAGTGGTGTATAAGGGCCTGGACTAGGGGAGGAGCAAAATCTGTCATTTTATGAGTTGTCCATGGTCACACAGGGAGTCTGTTTGAGAGTCAGGAATAGAGCCCAGCCCCCCACCCCTCCCATTCTATTGCCTTAGCCAGAAGACCGTATTTCCATTTTTCAGAGAAAAACCTTGTCCAATTCAATTAAATATCACATTGTATTTAACTGCAGTTATTTTGCTGATGTGTTTTTGTACTAACTCAGAAAAAGAAAGGGAGGAGGAGTTGTGATT